GATTGAATGTATATTTAGTTTTGGTTGTGAATCTTAAAAAAATAATAATAATAAATAAAATAAAATTGGTTGTGAACCTTAAAAAAAAATTAAAAAAAAAAAAAAGATTAAATGTATATTTAGCTTTGGTTGTGAATCTTAAAAATAAAAATAAAAAATGGTTGTCAACCTTAAAAATAATAATAAAAAAAAGATTGAAGGTATATTTAGCTTTGGTTGTGGATCTTTAAAAAAAATGATTGTGAACCTAAAAAAATAAAAAATAAATAAAAAAAAGATTGAATGTATATTTAGTTTTGGTTGTGGATCTTTAAAAAAAATGATTGTGAACCTAAAAAAATAAAAAAAAAATAAAAAAAAGATTGAATGTATATTTAGTTTTGGTTGTGAATCTTAAAAAAAAAAAAAAAAAAAATGTAGATTTCAATGAAAAACATATGGGGAAATTAGTGGGTACCCATCCCCAACCCATCCCCTGTGGATATTTAAAGAATATCACTTACCCTACCCAATGTATAAGTAAAAGAGGAGAAAACCCATATATTTGGGTTGGGTCTCCATGAATACCCACAGGGTAGGTTATCCATTGCCATGGTGGCTTTGGTGGGTGGATGGAGTGGGGTTAGATGTTCGATTTAAGTCCAAAAACATTTTCCAGTGTATTATTTCGGCTCAAGGACAGGGTCACTGGGTAGCTTCTTTCATCTATGCTCCTCCTTGCAAGCAGGAAATGAGAGTGTTCTGGAACTATTTGACTACTATGGCTAAGGAGATGCAGTATCCGTGGTTATGTATAGGTGACCTCAATCAAGTGGGCTCCATCTGGGAAAAGCAAGGTGGAAGGGAATGTAATAGCAATCAACTGTCTGAATTTCGAGAAATGTTATCGGATTGTGAGCTGACAGATTTGGGATTTAAGGGGAATGCTTTTACTTGGTCCAACAACCAGGGTGGCATAGATAATGTTCGAGAACGCTTGGATCGGGCATTGGCGACAGTTGCATGGAGGGATTTATTCCCGAATGCTCAAGTCTTTCATGATATCTGCTTTGGATCAAACCACTGTCCCTTGGTGCTTAATTGTGATGTTCCTTTGGTTCGGGTCCCACGAATTTTCCGTTTTGAATCCCTTTGGACTACTAGCCCAAACTGTACAACTATCGTACAATCTGCATGGGATCAGGACCAATCTGGCTCTCCTATGTTTAAACTTGTCCAGCGCTTAAAGAATTGTCAACGAAGGCTACGGGCATGGAGTGGTCAAGAGTTTGGCAATGGCAAAAGGAAAATAGATATCCTTCGCGCATAGATTGCTTGGGTCCAGAGCCAAAATCACTCACTGGACAATGAGGCCCTTCAAAAGGACTTGTTTCACGAGCTGGAATTAGTCATGAAAAGAGAGGAGATGTTTTTGCATCAGCGGTCTCGCATTCGATGGCTTAATTTTGGTAATCGCAATTCAGCCTTCTTTCATGCGACCATTAATCAGCGGCGTCAAAGGAATCAGATTCTGCACTCGATGGATGACCATGGCAGATTGCTAACTGAAGAGACTGAAGTTAATGCCCACTTGTTTGATTATTTCTCGACACTTTTTTCGGAAATGGCGGGGTAGCCCCGTGGCTGCTTTAGAGGTGGTGGAAAGGATCATTACTGATAACATGAATTCTCAGTTGATTAAGGAGGTAACAGATGAGGAAGTCAAGGTAGCGGTTTTTCAGTTGGGTTCTTTAAAAGTTCCTGGGCCAGATGGCTTTCCTGGTTTTTTCTATCACAATCATTGGGATATTGTAGGACCATCAGTGTGTCAAGCAGTGAGAAGCTTTTTTCGGAGTGGCCATTTGCTAAAGGAGCTCAATCATACTAATTTGGTCCTGATTCCTAAAGTTCAGGCTCCTGAAACTTTGTCGCATTTTCTACCAATCAGTCTTTGCAATTTTAGCTTGAAAGTCATTACCAAAATTCTTGCGAACAGATTAAAGGGGATTTTAAGGACG